ATTAGCAAAACATTTAGGTTTATCAACACAGTGAAAGTGAACTGCACATAACTGGCACACACTGGCATAAACACAGATGTCAAACAGTATGACATGCATCACTATATATATGTATAAAAATTTTCCTGATTTTCTTTTTTCCACACAACACAGACACTGCATTATAAATGTAAACATTTAAAAGACTGTATTTAAATAGCTTCACAAATGCATATATGTGTGAATAAATTAATTTAAATTAACATTAATAAATAAAAACGTCAATAAAATCATTTATCTATATGATTGAATAATGAATCAATCACCAAAATCCATTTTGATTGGTCACCTATGCTTCTTGTACTCTTATACAGTGTTATAATATACACTAATATCCTAATTTTAAAATAGAAATCTCATCGTTCTGACTTTAAAAGAGACCTATTACATAAAAATCAATTTTATAAAGGATTTAAACCCAGGGGTGTGTCAGCAGTGTGTGAATATAACCAGCTTCTGATGGTAAAAATGTATGAATTACATCTTTTTGTAATCAGACTTGATAAAAACAGCCAGCAGAAACACTTTGATTGACATTCTCCCTTCGTACGTGTCATCAAAGGGAGAAAGCCCCGCCCACTAGTGACCATCTCTCCCTCATTAGCATAGGACGTCAATCTTGCTTTTTAATCTGCCACTATGCTGACACACAGGCATTTGTAGCTCCACCCTCTTTTGAAAAAGAGCACATCTCATTTAAATTTAAAGCGACAGTCACCAAAACACCAGGATCAAAGCTAAAACGGGCAGTTTTAAAGAGTTAAAAACATTGTTTGTGTGGTATCTCTCACCTCTTCTGAGCTTGGCCGTTGGAGTGCTGGTCAGCTGGAAGCTCAATGATCAGCACGCAGGACTGAGCATGCTCAAACCCATCCTTGCTGCTGGGAGTTTTAGGAGAGCACTGCGTATCCAGCATGAACACCTGGAAGAAGATTAAAATAAACACAGACATTGGTTTTAGCTGGATTTAAGTAAAAAAATATATATTAAAAATGCTAAAGGAGTTTTTACTACAGGAACCGGACTGTTCTGCAGTGTATATTTTCCACTGGAAGATTATTATTTTACATTTTTTGGTCTAATTACAACTGTGAAATCTCAGGCGAGATAAGTGCCTAGAAAACCCTCAGCTTTCAACACTATCTGAACTACTGCTTTAATAAAACTTCAGGTACTCCAATGATCCGTAAATAATTTAACGTTATGCATATTGTCATATTGTTTTGAATGTGAGTGTTGAAGGATGATCATGTATGTGTGTATGCTGTGGTCTGCGCAGGCACTGTACCTGTTGAGCCATGGCCCGAATCCTCATGTTCTCTGCTTCTGCTGAGGGAGAGTGTGACGGGGCTGCCACTTTCACTTCACACGCATCTCCAGTGAAACTGTCTGAACCGCTCCGGAAACAGGCCAGCAAGTTCTACCAGAATGAAAGAAAATTGATTCTGAGATTTACAAAATGCATCACTATTTACTTACTTTACTTATATTTACTTATAATTTACTTACAAATACCACTTGAATCTTTAATCTGTCTAAACTGTCTACTGTTAAAACTAGTCTAGAGCGCCATCTACTGTTAAAACTAGTCTAGATCGCCATCTACTGTTAAAACTAGTCTAGAGCGCCATTTACTGTTAAAACTAGTCTAGAGCTTCGTCTGCTGTTAAAACTAGTCTAGAGCTTCGTCTGCTGTTACAACTAGTCTAGAGCGCCATCTACTGTTAAAACTAGTCTAGAGCTTCGTCTGCTGTTAAAAGTAGTCTAGAGCGCTGTTTACTGTTCAAACTAGTCTAGAGTGCCGTCTGCTGTTAAAACTAGTCTAGAGCGCCATCTGCTGTTAAAACTAGTCTAGAGCGCCATCTGCTGTTAAAAACTAGTCTAGAGCGCCATCTGCTGTTAAAACTAGTCTAGAGCGCCTTCTGCTGTTAAAACTATTCTAGAGCGCCGTCTGCTGTTTAAACTAGTCTAGAGCGCCGTCTGCTGTTAAAACTAATCTAGAGCACCATCTGCTGTTAAAACTAGTCTAGAGCGCCGTCTGCTGTTAAAACTAGTCTAGAGCGCCTTCTGCTGTTAAAACTAGTCTAGAGCGTCGTCTGCTGTTAAAACTATTCTAGAGCGCCGTCTGCTGTTAAAACTAGTCTAGAGCGCCGTCAGTTGTTAAAACTAATCTAGAGCTTCATCTGCTGTTAAAACTAGTCTAGAGCGCCGTCTGCTGTTAAAACTAATCTAGAGCGCCGTCTGCTGTTAAAACTACTCTAGAGCGCCGTCTGCTGTTAAAACTAGTCTAGAGCGCCATCTGCTGTTAAAACTAGTCTAGAGCGCCGTCTGCTGTTAAAACTATTCTAGAGCGCCGTCTGCTGTTAAAACTAGTCTAGAGCGCTGTCAGTTGTTAAAACTAATCTAGAGCGTCATCTGCTGTTAAAACTAGTCTAGAGCGCCGTCTGCTGTTAAAACTAGCCTAGAGTGACATACGCTGTTAGAAACTAGCCTAGAGCACCATCTGCTGTTAAAACTAGCCTAGAGCGACATCTGCTGTTAAACTAGTCTATTTGTAGTGCATTTCTGTATTGCATGGATTCATCTGTATACAATCATTGTGTTGTGAGAGTTTGCATGTGCATGTGTTTTTATAATTACATGTGTTTTCTTAGCACTTATTCACACTGAACGTGTCTTTGCTTTTGAAAAAAATGATGCGCAACGTTTTTTAAAAACCGAGCACCATAAAGCATGAGGGAATCTGGACCTGTAAACAGAAAATTGCATTGGTCGCCCTGCTGTTTTGATTGTTCCACTGCTTTGGAACTAACAGTGATGAGCAGCACTTCATGTAAAAGTTTTAACTTAATAACGTTTTTTAGCTTGGCATGGAGTTTAAAAATGCGGCATGTGCACACTGCTTTAAAAGACACAAGCATAATGGTCACACAACTCCGTCAAGTGCATGTTTAAAACGTAAAAAAAAATGCTTTCTGTGTGAACTGCCCCTTAATTTGCACCTCGTTTGAGCTCTTTTATTCACCGTACTTTTGACTATTCAACAAAAACCCCTGCGTTCATTTTTGATATGACTTAAAATCATCAGAAGAAAACAAATCTCTTTAAACACAAATCCATTGTAGCCTAGAAGACTCACCATTTTTACAGCAAAATGAACAATCATCCTCTTTCTATGAATATTTTCACTGCTTAAAGTTCTGTAATTTTGTGCCATCTGTGACACCACATGACAAACGAGAATAAAAAAACACATCTGCCAATGGTCAGACAAACAGACCGCCTTCGCCAATGGTTTTTAGGTCACCACAATGTCTTTCTATAAGCGAACAGCAACTGTCAAATAAAACATGCATTAAAATCCTTGCGATCTTCATTACTAATTTTGTATCAAAAACAAAACTAGCATTGCTGAGTTAAATTAAAAAAGATCTTTACACGTATGTATTCATACAATATCCCTGATAGCAGCACAGTTAAAAATGGCACAACACTAATCCCTAA